TGTTTTTTTCTCTCTCCCCACTTTTTGGGCCAGGGAATCCTTTCTTCAAATGAAAGAAAACAATTAAAAAATAAGATCACAGGAAGAGGACAGTACAACATGGAAAACTGACAAGGGATTAATATCTTGAATATACAAGGAACAACTGTAAATCAGAAAAAAATGAATAAACAAATTAATTAATAAATAAGAAAATATAGGAGAATGGATAAGGATAGGAACAGGGCTTAGAGTATCCAGGTGATACAAAGTGAACAGGTAAGATGTAGGGAAGCCAGTAACCCCTGAGGTGATCACTTCAAGCTGCTGAGCTGCCTTATCCCTATACCTTAGTATGCTATATAAAAATTACCATTTTACAATGTACTATCATTTGCTGTGTGTACCTGGAGATGTAAAGACAACTGGAAAGCATCAGGATAGACGATTCACAGAAAGGAAAAGTGAAATGGGCAATAAGTTTGGAAACCCCAGGCTTAAGCATATCAAATGGAAATAACATGATAAACTCAACTAGACCTAAGGAAGAATTTCTTAATGGTGAAGGATATGAGACACTAATGCAAATGACCGAGGAAAGCTAGTCCAGCTTCTCTGGAGGTATTTGAGAACAGAATTTGTTTCACAGAAATGAGATGGCTGAGATAATCTTCCTCTAGAGAGGCATACAAAACAACTTTATAAGGCATCCTTAGCTTTACTTACCCTGTTGTCTCAGTTTCCCTTATACTGTGAGTTCTAAGGTTACAAGAGGTAATACCACCAATCATTGTTCAAAGTGACCTAGAACTGAACCAAGGCTATTTTATCCCACTTTATGGATTTAGAAAGAAAAACGTCATCTTCTACAAAGAACTCGTTAAAAATGATCATTTATCTGACTGGCATCACTGAATTACTTTGATTTAAAAAATACTTTGTTTCTCATTTTCTTATTTGTAAAATGAGGGTATTGTAACTTAAATGTTTGTAAAGCATTTTCTATTCCCAGGAGTAAATAGTAAATATGTATATAATTATATAAGATTATAACATATGACATATATATACTTAATAATCTATGCCACATATATTACTATAGATTATATAGTAAATATATATATATATATATTTCAATAGATACTTTCTTTTTTTACTGATTGCAGTGTCTCAAATTTCCTCCTCAAAAGCTCAAGAGTGGGAAGTGTTTAGTTATTTCCCTTAATTTACAGAAAGAATAAATTATGCGATGTGAACACAGTCATGTCTGATTATGTCCTGTTTTCATAGGCACCGGGGAAAAAGCAGCAGAAAATATAAAAGTAACCTGGATCACTACAACAGCTTTCCTTATTTTAAAAAATATTTTAATGTTTATTTATTTCTGGGAGAGAGAGAACCAGTGGAGATACAGAATCAAAGCAGGCTCTAGGCTCTGAGCTAGGTGTCAGCAGATAACCCTATGTGGGGCTTGAACCCACGAACCGTGAGATCATGACCTGAGCTGAAGTCGGAGGCTTAACCGACTAAGCCACCCAGGGGCCCCTACAACAGCTTTCTTTATCTTTCTTAAGTAAGAATGTACAGAATCACAGAAAGTAAACACTTAAAAACTCTTCCAATCTGCTCATCTTAGAGTTGAGGAACAAGGCCCATGATGGAAAACATTCACCTGAGATTCCGCAGCCAGTAAGAGACCAAGGTGTGTCCTGAACCTGGGTATTCATTTCTGACTCTGGTATTCTCTATAATAAACAATATTGTTACTTATAGCTTTTGGTTTAGAGGTGACACAATCCTCGGCCAAAATACTGTCTTCTGGTCCAGCTAGACACAGATTTCTCCATCCTTCTTTTCCTCTAGCTAAACCTTCTTCTGATACTGCGGTTGCAGTGTGGGACAAAGAGATACTTCCCACTTAAACCCTTAACTTCAGCACCAAGAATAACTGATAAATATAGAACCAACAGATCATGAATAAAAGTTTTTCTTAGTTTGGCTAGATTGGGCAAGTCCTCAAAGCAGAGACATAGCACTCCCTCCTCTAGAAAGATGAATATTTCTATTGCTGTCCTGAGGTTGTGCCTTGTAAGAAGAGGCCAATATGTTTCAGAGTTGGGAACAGAAGATACTTGTAAAGGACTCTCACTGGGCTAGTGCCTGAAAACTCTGAGAAAGTAATTTTGTCTCCTAGAAACTCAAGTCTATTGATCTAGAAAATAGGAAAAACAGTAACACCTCTGTCCTGCCTGAAAATCAAGTGGCATAAACTGTGGATATACTTTGCCAAAGTAATACATGCATGTGAGCATTTGTATTTAATTCCGACTTTCAACCATATTTATTGACCATGTACCATGTGCCAGACACTGTGCTAGGTATTGGGGATATACTAGTAAATCAACAGTTAAAAACACCTGCCCTTCATGTAATTTACATTCTGGCAGGGGAGAAGAACAATAAAAAAATTATATTAGCAAAATATATGATATATCAGATAGCAATAAGTACAATAGAGGAAAGTAAAGCGGGAAAGAGGAGCTATAGTGCAAGTTTACAATTTTAAGTAGAAAGATCAGGAAAGATCTCAAGGAAAAGGTGATATTTGAGTAAAGACTTGAAGGAGGTGAGGAAGATATCTGGGGGAGGAGTGCTCTAGGCAGAGGGAAAAGCCAGTGCAAATTCTGTGGAGGGGGGCACACCAGACATTTTTTTCTAGGAACAGCAAGAGGCCAGTGTGCCTGGAGCAGTTATAGAAGGTGGGAAAGATTAAGGAGATAAAGTCACAGAGGTAACAATAAGTTGATCACATGGGACTTTGTAAATAATAGTAAGAACTTGGCTTTTACTCAGGGAGAAATGGCCAGCCATTAGATGATTTTGAGCAGAAGAGTGATATGACCCAATTTAGATCTTGATAGCATCACTCAGCTGCCAGGTAAAGAACATATTGTACTTATATCGTAGACTCTTTGACATTATAAAACATCTATCATTTTACAGCAGTGCTCCTCAAACTTTAATATATAATGTAAGACAAATGGGAATCTTGTTAAAATGCAGAATCATGTTTCGTAGGTCTGGAGTGGAGCTAAAAATTCTGCATTTCTAACAAGCTTCCAGGTGATACAGATACTAGTCTAGGGAAGAAAACTTTGAAAGTAAGAGCTATGTCCAAGGCTGCCAGAAGTCTACTATGTGTTTGCTGAATGAATGACAGTGGTTTCATGCCCAATGCCACAGAGCACATTTCAGAGGATATTTTTTCAGCTATTTGTATGGAGGTAGAGGGAGAGAAAATGATAAAAGAGAGACATGGATTGATGGGTGAATAGATGAAAAGGGAAGGGAAGGAAAGAAAAACTATATTTTTATAAATAATTACAACATTATCTTTACTTAATTTTATTAATAAACTTAAGAGGTTGGTATAATGAAGCACACTGGACAAATCAGAAAAATCAAAAGTCAGAGGAGTTAAGGGGCAACTTGAAGGGTATAGAATGTCTAAGTGACTAGGTCAGGATGTGAAAGCCAGCATTCCATGTCCCCAGAGCTCTTGTTTGTTGCGCTCTACTGACTCATGGAGTGGGAGACTGGGGATAAACTTTAACATTCCTAGAAGGGATGAAAAAAATGACTTGAGGTGAAGAAAATAAGGCCCATATTCCTTGGCCTTGATCTTCCTAGATCTGAACTGTCCAATGTAGGTGCCGTTTAGTCACATGTGCCTATTTAAATTAAAATTTAATAAAATTCAAAATCCCATTTCTCAATCATACTAGCCACATCTCAACTACTCAACAGTCGCAGATGGCTGGCTAGTGGCTACTGCATTGGAGAATGCAGATACATTTTATCACTATAGGAAGTTCTACTAGGCAACACTATTCTAAAGAAATAAGATCATTAAAAAATGTTAAAGCTGTGCTATTGATTCCAGCGTAGGCACTGGGGTCACTCAACAGGATTTGGGGAACGAAAGTAGGACCTGCCTCTTCATCTAGAAGGAAGAGGATAAATATATTCAAAGTAGAATTTTCCCTGGGTCGAGCAGAATGCTTCTGTGTGTGTGTGTGTGTGTGTGTGTGTGTGTGTGAGAGAGAGAGAGAGAGAGAGAGAGAGAGAGGGAGAGAGAAAGGAGAGAAACCTTTTTTAAAACATTCTTTCCTCTACTTCCCATTGGTATTCCCAAAGTGTTTAGTAAAATGCCCTTTCAAAATGTCATCTTATCTCATGACATCAAAAGGAATGTTGGGAAAAGGGCTCTCATCCTTACTCAGATTAGAGAGATGGAAGGGATAGAGTTAGGGAATGTAGAGCCATAGCTCCTGGGGGAAAAGTGGCATATTGAAGGAGCTGAGACTTGTCCATTCAGCCTTTATCTCGTATATATTTCTCCCCCTAAACTCTTCTGCTCAAACTCAAAACCAGTGTTCTTCGAGTAAAGGAGGAGGACCAACAGCATCAATTTCACCAGGGTTGCTTGTTAAATATAGAGATGCCTGTGGTTTATCCCAGAGTGAGAATTCACAACTTTGGAGAGATGGAGAGGACTGGAATCTGCATGTATAACAAGTTTCTCCAGGGACTCTAGTGCACATTCAAGTTTGTGAATCATTGAGTTGGAGGGAGATGTGTCTTGCTTTAATGAATGCAGTTAGGCCTTTCTATGGGTGGCAACAACCAAATTAGAAGCCAACAAGATAGGGGGAGAGATTCAGGGAAGGGAAGATGAGGTGAGGGAGGTAGGGAGAGATAGAGAAAGAAGGAATATGAAGTTGAAAGATGAACACTAGACAGACACGTAGACAAAGAAAGAAGGAAACTGATGTAGGGACTCAGAAGCTCCAAAGGAGCTGTTTCACACAGTGAACAAAATATAGGAGGCCACTCCAGCTGCTCTTTCCCACATCTTAGGACTATCACAGGTAGAACTCAGCAGAGTTGTTGGTTCTTCATGAAAATGCCCTCAACTCCACCCTGGGTGCCCCCACATAAACTATCATAGCTGGGCCTACCTCACAAATGTCCTTGAGGTGCTTGATGTAATGACGTTCGGTGCTCATGATCTCATTGATGACATTGGCTCGCATCTGGTCCCGGTTCTGTAGTGGCCGGCCCAGACAGAGGCAGTCTGAGTTGGGGTCCAGGTGCCCATTCTGCACATCACTGGGCCCTTCCTCTACCCCATCCTCCTGGTTCACCCAGAGCTGTGGAAGCAGGCAGAAGAAGAGAGTAGTTTCCTTCTTTGAAAAGTTTCCAGTCAAGTATTCTTCAAGTAAACTAAATTCTTCAAGAATTCAGAAAACATTCAACCAGAGGCCCCTGTAAAATAAATGCCAAGCTTGGCTCTAGGGTAACTTGCGGGCCCTATCCATGAGTATAATCCTCTCTAAGTCTCTGATGAACTATCTGTAAAATGGAGGATGCAGAAGGATAGAACTTTGAAGAAGGATAAGTCATCTCTGAGAGGCTTCTTGTCTAAGGTTTCAGAGAAGTTGAAGAGTTATGGAAAACAGAATTCATTCATGCTTGAGCGGATCTAGGCAGCACAGCTGGATAAAAAAAAAAAAACTAACCTATACATGTTGAGCCTGGGGCACAGCTGGATCAAACACAACACCTATGATCATGGAGACCAAAGTTGGATACTGGAGTGGGCATTTCGAAAACAGGACCTCAGTGTTGATTTACATTGAAAGATGACAAATAATAATTAAAATCTGACTATAACATGCCTTGGGCATATAAAGTTCTTGACATCTTCAAACTTAGAGTGGAAATGACAGAATGTTCCTGCATCACATAATAATAATAGCTGTTGATTGAGCACTTTAATATACAGCAACTACTATGCTAAAGCTTTTAATGAACTGTATTACTCAGTCCTGCTAGGCATGTACCATTATTACCTCTATTTCACAGAAGAGGAGACAGAGGCTCAAAAAAGTTAAGAAATTTATCCCAAGTCACACAGTTAGGAAAACAGAAGTGATGGGACAGAAACCAGGTGGTCTGATTTCATAGCCTGTGCTCTTAACCACTGTGCTAGCATCTTTGCACCTCTGGGTCTAAGGAAAACAGTAAAAGAGTAGGGAAGGGATTGGGCCAAGGTGAGATGAGAATTATCAGAATCATCATAAATTAGCTACAGTTGGTAGACATTGAAACTATCCATTCCAACACATGAAGGCAAAAGGATGTATCTCCTTTGGGGAAGCTGAGTGAGATATTTCTGGATCTAAGATGACAACTTAAATCAGGGAGGTGGCTCATTTCACCCCAGTCCTAGGAAGGAGGAAAGTCAGGGTTTCAGCGAAGAAAGGAAGGGTGGGACCCTAGGAATAGTGGTAAAATCTGCCAGGGGAATTAACCAAAGAGCATGTTAGTTGTCTCAACAGCTTTAATCAACGATATACCTTTCCCCCTCAATAAACCCTACCCAGTTTTTTCCACTTTCTTGCCTCAAGAAGCTGAGATCAAGCAATTTAGATGCATTATTATTTCTGCCACCAGAAAGGCCATATTGGTGAGTGGCCTAAGAGGAAAGAGGCTTCGGGATGGAGCTACAGGAACAGTGGTTACTTCTCAACTCTGTGTATTCTCCCCTCTCTTTTTGCCTCACAGAGGACGGGAAGTATAGTTACCACCAAGCAAGCCTAAAGATGTCACAAGCATATAATCTACTTATTTGCCACAGGCCAAAATAGGGCTGACTTCTTTTAATGCACTTTTCATACACAGCCACATGTGCAAAAATGTATCTCTATTCAAAACTTATCACCTTCTACAAATGTTCTATTGGAAATCCCTTTCCAGCTACCAAAGGTCAAATTTGTGTCTTCAATAGGATATCTGCCCTTTAATACAATCAATAGGCAATGATGAGTGATGATTACTCAAGGAACAGATCTGTTCAAAAAGGTAAAAGACACAACAGAATATACAACAGAATATTACTCAGCAATCAAAAAGAATGAAATTTTGCCATTTGCAACAGCATGGATGGAGCAAGAATGCATTATACTAAGTGAAGTAAGTCAGTCAGAGAAAGATAAATACCATATGATTTCACTCAAATGTGGAATTTAAGAAACAAAAGAGATATACATATGGGAAGGGGGTGTGGGGGAAGAGGAGGGGGAAACAAATCACAAGAGATGGAGGGAGGTGGGCTAGATGTGTGATAGGTATTAAGGAGGGCATTTGTTGTGATGAGCACTGGGTGTTGTATATAAGTGATGAATCACTGAATTCTACTCCTAAAACCAAATTGCACTGTATGTTAACGAACTAAAATTTAAATAAAAACAAACAAAAAAAAGGGTTACCATAGGCAGGACTTTAAAAGATTAAAAAACAAACAAATAAACATTTCTTTTCTTTTCAGGAGTTTAAGACAAGTCCATTCAAAATATTGGATTTTGGATGGCTGGAATTAGATGATTGGAACAGTTGCAGTAGGAAGGAACACAGGATATTTGCAGGAGTGGGATGTGAACAGACAGTGTCTAAAGCCTGGCAAGTTGGAAGGCTTTCCTGGAAATCCTCTCAGAGTACTTAAAGACTATTTTCTTCAGCCTCCATTGAACTCTAAGCAAGGCTGGGGTAATGCAATTCAATTTAACACATAAATATATATTTTGGACCTATTCTGTGCCTCACCATCAATTATTAGAGACATACTGATGAACAAGAAAACTAACTCCTCCCTCCTCTGCTCCCTTAGCCATTCCAGGGACTGCTTTCTGAAGCAGAAAATATCTCTGGTCCTCATCTCTTTTTTTTTTCCATTCCCACTGTCATGACCCCCATTCCCTAGATGACTCTCCTGGGTTATATTCCAGCTCTAATCCCTCCCATATACCATTATCAGACCAATTTCTTTGACTATCACTTTGACTAGCTACTCTCACACTCCAAAATCCTCAGTAGTTCCCCATTACCAAGTTCAAATATCTCACCCCAGAATTCAATCATTACCATAACCCAGCTTCAACTTGAATTTCCATTCTTAGCCTCTCTACTGTGTTCTTTATGAATACTGGGCTTCTCCCAAATGAGTCAACTTTCTGCCCACAAATACTCCCAACTATGGTCCTTAATCCCACATTTGATCATGTAAATAATAAATTAATGAGAATTTCAATCACTTAAGTAACAATGAACCAAGCTAATAAATTTCTGATGAAGAAATCTAGGCCCATGGAGGAGAATGACTGCCAGAGAGTTACCACCTTACCCAGATCCCCATTTTGATATGCTTTTGTATTTTGTATGTATCTTCCACTTTTTAAATGTTTTTAATTACATAATTGATACAGGAATACATTAGCTTTGTAAAAAGTTAAAATAGAGAAAAATAGAAGACTCAAGTTATTAAAATCAGAAATAAAAGAGGAAATATTATCACCAATCTAACAGAGATTTTTAAAAACTCATTAAAGGGTATACTATGACAACAATTTAGATAGCCTGATTAAATAAATTCCTAGAATGATAAAAACTATAGAAAATGATTTGAAGAAGAAATAGAAGATCTGAATAGGCCTATTATAAGCAAAGAGATTGGGTTAGTAATTAAAACCCATGTAATTTCTTACATGAGAAAAAAATCAGGATGAGATGGCATCACTAGTGAGGTCTACAAAGCATTTAAAGATTAACATCAATACTTCATAAACTTTCAAAAATAGAAATGCAGAAACTCTCAACAAAATACTTGCAGATCAAATCCAGTAATATAGATATAGATATAGATATTTAAAAAGTCCACTTTATCAGATGGGATTAATGCCAGGAATTCAAGGTTGGTTCAACATATGAAACTCAAGTCAATGTAATACACCATATTAATGGAATAAAGATTTGAAAAAATACATAATAATCTATGGAGATTGGCCTATATGCAAAGACCAAATGTATTTCTGAAAATGAAATTAAGAAAATAATTGCATTTAAATTGCATCAGAAAGAGCAAAATCCTCCAGGATACATTTTACAAAAGAAGTGCAAGACTTGTACACTAAACACTGCAAAACATTGTTGAAAATAAGTAAAGAAGACCTAACTAGGTAAATATATATCTCATGATCATGGAGTGGAAGATTTAATATTGTTAAGATAGTAATATTATACAAGTTGATTAAGATTCAACACAATCCCTACCAAACCTCTCAACTTGCTTCTTGGCAGAAATTGACAAGTTGATTCTAAATTTCATATGGAAATTCAAGAGACCCAGGATAACCAAAACAATTTTTGAAAAAGAAGAACAATGTTGGAAAACTCACACTTCCTAATTCCAAAATTTACTATAAGCCTTTAGTAAACAAGAGAGTGTGGTACTGGCACAAGAATAGATAAAGATAATGAAATAGATGAGAGTACATAAATATACCTAGGGGAGCTTGGGGTGGCTTAATTAAGCAGTTGACTCTTGGTTTTGGCTCAGGTCATGATCTAATGGTTCATGAGATTGAGCCCCATATGAGGCTCTGCACTGACAACACAAAACCTGCTTGGATTTCTCTCTCACCTTTGCTCTCTCTGCCCTTCCCCAACTTGTGCACACACTCTCTATCAAATAAATAAACTTAAAAAATGAAATATACCAAACATTTATGCTAAAATGGTATTTCTAAAATTGTTAAGACAATTCAAAAGGGGAGAGTATAGTGTTTTCAACAAATGGTGCTGGGCAACTGGATATCCAAATGCAAAATAATAACCCTGGACCCATACCTCACACTATATGTGCAAATTAACTCAAGATGGATTAAAGACCTAAAGGTAAAAGCTAAAATTATAAAACATGTCAAACACAACACAGAAGCAAATTTTTGTGACCTTGGATTATGTAATAGTTTCTTACATATGCACCTAAAACACAACCAACCAAAGGAAAAAATTAGACTTCATCCAAATTAAAAACATTTGCTTTGCAAATGATAGCATCAAGAAAGTAAAACAATGCACAGAATGGAATAAAATATTTGCATACACTATATCTGATAAGGATCTAGTATCCAAAATATATAGAACTCAACAATAAAAAGGCAAATAACCCACTTAAAAATGGGCAAATCATCTGAACATTTTTCCAAAAAAGATATATAAATGGCCAATAAATACATGTAAAGATGCTCAATATCATTAGCCATCAGGGAAATAGAAATCAAAATTATAATGAGATATCACTTCATACACA